GTGGTCCCTTCCAAACTGGTATTCTATGATTTGATGAATTGACTAAACTTTATTTTATCATCACTTTTAAGCCTTGGAAGCTTCCTAAGATTTTTTATAAAGCAGCCACAAGCCTACATGGAAGCTGACTTGTAAAAACAGAGTCACTTGTTAATTAAACTGCTGGATTTCTCCTTTCAATCCAGAATTTCAATAGGTGTTCCAAGGTGTTTGTTACAGCAACCTTGCGCTTAGCCAAATGAGCTGGGGTTGGCTTGTTCTGGCGTTATACGTTACAGTCAGTCTGAAAGCAATGGTTGTTCATGTCCATGGCTGTGTGACAGACGCAGTCATCCCTGCACAGCCATGTGCTTCCAAAGAAAATTTTACAGCAGCTATTTTGTGCCCTCACCGGTCAACGATTTGAAAAAGCACAACTGCTCCTGTCAGGAAAACACTGCCTGTGCAACGCGATGGAAGCATTGAAAGTAAAAGATCAGCTCGTTGAACAACTCAGCCTGGTGATTTGAAAGCTATTAATAAATGGGAGAGTTTACAGTCGGTTGTGAAGGAAAGAAACAACCCACATTAAAGCAACAGACACCATCATCTGTCTGGCGTTTCACACTGGAGGTGGTTGTGACTCTGCTGAAACTCCAAGCACGTGTCGGCGTGCTCAGTTCTTGCACTCCTGGATAGCTATAAAAATGTCCTGATTTAGTGAAATTGGGTTCTTACGTCTGTCAATTGTGAATTTTAGGTTCATTTATTCATCTTTTCTATTTTAAAGCCTGCTGCTGAGGCCGAAAGAGGAATGAAATTGTTGTCATTTATACTGCGTGCTACAACTCATATAACAGTTCAGCACAGAAATAGCATGCATTCCATTCCTGTGTAAGGAATTCATTATACATGGCACCAGCTGTCTAATTCAGACCACAACTGCCTTGATTTAGGTGATGCAAAGGATTTAAGTGATTTTAATACAGGTTCTTGTGTCTTTGTGTTTGATGGAATAGTCAAAACCCAACAGCACTGAAATCCGGGTCAAGGCATCAGTGGGTTTCAGGGACAGTGGGACATGATTCTTGGACCTTAGCAAGGGACAGAGCTTGTAAAATAATATCAAAGTAAATCTGTGCTTAGGATTGTGCAACACACGGCTGTACCAAAAGACTGTGCCACAGACAGGGTAGTCTGAAATAGGTTTTCTCGTCTGTCCGTTAACAACTCTCAGCAGAGCTGCACTGTCTGTCCTCATAGACAGAGAATGTGCCTTCCACTGAAATCTCTCACTTTTTGAAGGGTTGACTGATTGCTCTTTTATCACGACAGACATCACAAAACTGTACTGTGTGTGCAGAAAGAGCCCTACCTTTTCTCAGGCACCCAAAAGTCGGGACCCAAGTCAGCAAAGCTTTTTTACCACATGGTAAATTTTTAAAATCCAGCTTTTTATTTGGTAAAACACTTAAGCCCTTGCATTGGGGACTTTGCTAAAGTGGGGCCTATTCACATGAATAGTAGTTTAAAAGTCAAGCTTCATTTTTCACCAATAGTTTATGGTTGACTCAACTGCTCAGGTAAGTCGTACTCCTCTGGTGGAAACACTGGAGTAAATCCATCCTAACTTCACTACACAAATTTGTTTGTTGTAAAGAGTGTTGCACTTGCTTTATATTGGTATAACAACATCAGGATCAGGCTCTGATCGACTGCATTACTTGAAAAATTACACTGTTAAATATGTCAGCACTAACAAAAAGCTGATTATGGCTGTCATTTAACAGGTACTCTAGGATTAACTCCAAATGCACCTAGTAATAATAACAAAGGTATCCCAGCCTGGGCCAACGTCACAGCTGTACCAGTCAGCTACATGCCTGAGCAAAGGAGTCCTCCTGTGTCTTCTCTGAGCATAAACAGAGGTAAAAGCTACAGCATTTCTCTCCAGAGAAACACCAGACAGCAGCACTCATCACCCAATAAACAAATGAAGGTGGTATAACCAAAGTTACTTGGCACTTTGGGAATTTCAGCTTCTGTGACAAGATGCTAAGCTCTATAATGATGGAGAAGTCTACCAGTTGTACTCATTTATCTGAAATGTTGTAAAAGCTGTATCTTGATTTAGGGGCTAGTAAACAAGAGCACAAAATAGCTGCTATGACTTGCTGCTAAATCTACTTCACTGCTGTTGCGGAGGACAACAGTGTGAAAGGTCCTCAACACAGCCCCTGCTGAGTCTGAGGTCACGTGCGTCCCAAATCACAGGCACCTCAGTCACATTTTTGCAGATCCATCTAACGCCCAAGGATTAAGGCTTTCTTTATAAAATACAGAGTCATTTTGACTTTGACTAGATGAACCAGTAAAAATATGCTCTAAGTTACAAGCATGAGACTAGTTTAGATCCTAATAGGATCCCAGTGACTCCATCTTCTGCTGCCTGCTTCTCTGAGGCTGCTCACTGGGCTTACATTCAGCTTCCAGCCAGTAGCAAAGCTAATGTAAAGTTACTGCCATCATAAATGACAGATGAAAGCTCTGTGGTAGATAAAAATCTCTGGTGACTGATGGATCCTGTTAAAGCTTGGGCCTTTGCCACAGTTTAGTGCCTACTTAAACAAACCAGCTGTGAGAACCATCGCCTATAAAAGCAGCATCACCACCACAACTCTGGGAGCGTGCCTGTGCACAGACGTGTGTATTTATGTAGCTATCAAACAAAGAGCTATCAGACTCCTTCTCAGCATAGCTCAGGGGTTAATCTAAGACTTTGGATAGTCAAGAAACTGCTTGGAAAAGAAGATGAGCAAGGCAAAGTTATCTGTCCGTTTTATAAACGGAATTTGCACTGGAAATTCTTTTTGTTCCTGGAAGTGTTGATCAGAACAGGCCTTGGCACCAAATTAAGAAAACTGTTGGTGAGAAGAAGGAAAAATTATTAAGGTCTGATTTCGAAAGATTCAATGCATTCAAAAGATTCAAGACATTCAAAAGCTTCTTCAACCCTTGGAGGGTACCTCACCCACCGTTCCTTTGAAGACATCCTTGGTCAAGGGTCTAGGATTTGTCTAGTTACAGGAAGGGTTAAATACCTCCAAAAGTCGAGGAACACCCATGAATGAGTGGAAGCTGTCTTGGTTAACCATAGGCAACACTGAGTACGGGCATGTCTCTGGACGTTGACAGGGAGATGCCAACCACCACCAGACCAGCAAGAGCTGGGCAGTGCTTTGCACTTCAAGATGAGACTGGAGGCAGCTGCCTTCAGTGACTGGTGCAGGTGTTTGTCTGGTTGGAGGCCTATTTTAAAGAACACATTACTTTCAGAAGGGCCAGATCCCACCAGGATGTCAAACAGACTGTGAGAATAAGTGCTGGGTTGTATTCTTCAGGGAGGAATGGTAGGCAGGATGTATCCGTACCAACATCAGTATGGTTGTACGGACTTGTAATGTGTCTGAGAGCTTCTTAGTTTGAGAGAGTGGTGTCCTGGGACTGTGTCACTTCTAGAAATAGGCAGCAGCAGGGAGTGGGAAGGGTTGGATATTAGTTTTGAACAGAGATGTCACCTAAGTCTTGCTTTCTGTGCCTTAAGTCCTTTCTGGGACATAGTCCCTGTCTGTCTGGTGTTCACCCAGGTTCTTGGCCTCACCTGGAGGCTGGCTTCATCATGGAAAAGTAAAGCTCAGCTTCTAGGACTCCAGGTTGAGCCTATGGCACCCTCGTGTGCAGCCAACCAGTTAAACCAGTAGTTCACTACACTTGGCAATGCTCCTCAATAGTGTCACATCCTTCCCTTTAACAGGGAAGTGTATGAGGTGAAAGGGTTTGAGGGCCTTTTGTGAGAAGCATCTGAGAACTTCCTCAGCTACTGCAGGAGTAGAAAAGGCCTTTGTCCCAGAAAGTGCTACAAAAGGAAAATGTCTCAGTCTTTGTGTCCCTTACCTCTAGGGTGGGTACCAGCCTGCTTCTCATGCCTGTTTCTCTTCTATATTTCAGTTGACAATGACCCACATTTCATCATACACCTGCCCAAGAGCCGAAGGGACATCTGCTTCAATATCAACTCCGAGCCTGGAAAGATCCTAAACTTGGTTTCTGATCCTGGTACTGGTAAGGGAATAAAATATGGTTTACTTTATAGCACTTTTCTTCTCTTGGGTCTGAAAGGTGTTCAGAGGGAGGAGGGGAAATGCCTACAAGGAGGACTGTGCGTTAACAGGAGGGAAGTGGTTATTTCCCCCCACATTTGGCGTATTCTGTCAGTTTGAGGCTTGCCAGTGCAAGATGGCAACAAACTAAATCAAATTTGGTGGTGGCCACCAAGATGATTTTGGGGCTGGAGCACAGGACACATAGGGAGAGGCTGAGACAGCTGGGTTTGGTCAGTCTTAAGAAAAGATGACCTACAGGGAATCTTGTTGCTGTCTGCAACCACCTAATCAGAAGGCAAAAACGGAGCCTGACACATCTCCAGCTAAAGGACAAGAGACAACAGAAACAAGTTGCAAGAGTTGACATTCAGAGTAGGAGTGAGCTATTAGGAAAAACTTTTCATTGTGAGGATGGGCAAACACTGGGAAAGGAGCCAAAATGGGTGAGGGAGTCTCCACGATAAGTGAGGGTTCCCCTCTCTCATTTGTACATGTGAAGAAGAAAGTGGAAGATGGATACAAAGGAAAATAAAATTGGAGGCATCCTAGGTAGCAGACAGAAAAAAATGTGCAACTGTGCTCCCAAAGGTATCAAAGCAAATCAGACTCTTCTTCTCAGAGGGCTTTACCTATCGGCATTTCTATGACTCCTGGGATATATGTGAAAAGCCATGAGCATTTGGAGGCAGGTTGAACTGGGCTGGAAATACGGTACCATTCCTCCATTGCCCATCCACCCCATGCCTTTCACAGACAGCAGGGGACCGAATGGCTCATGAATCAGCTCATACTACCAGCAAGACACACCACCAGTTCCCACCAGATTTATATGCTCAGTAGCATCAGGAGGTGATTTAATAAATTATTCCTTTCTCTTGGCTGGCAAGATAAGAAAAACAGGGGGTCAGAGCATTTCCTGTTTCCCCTGCTCCCATGTTACTCCCTGCTGAGACCAGAACTCCAAGTCTCTTGGTGGTGCTCTGAGAATTAGGCAACATCTGCTTCTCTGCTCTTCACAGGAGTCGTGGTCAACGGGCAGCTAGTTGGGGCCAAGAAAGCAGAGAACAAGAAACTCAACACATACTTTGGCAAATTTGGTTTTTATTTCAAAAGCAAAGGCCTGAAAGTGGAGATCACCACGGAAACGATAACACTGAAAGATGGATCTTACAGCATCGCGCTGACCTGGTCTGACACGGGGCACATCCTTCGGAAACAGTGAGTTGCTGAGCATTTGTCGTCTGCCCTATGGAAACCATTTGCAAGACAGCACTGGACTGACCCAGCTATGGGTGGGATCCAGGTCACAGGGTGCATACACATGGGCATGTGAATCTTAGCTAGATGTCTGAGATCTTGTTGTAGTTAATGAAATTAGGCAGTAGGGCCAAGAGTTGACCAAACACAAGTAAAGAAAGAGCTGAATAAAAAAAAGCTGACTTTAGTTGCTAAGATGAGGATTCAGTTGCCTAAAGCACCCAGTGTTATTTGAGATACCTTCAGGATTCCTGACACACTGGGAGACACGACTCACAACATCCAGAAGACCTTCACCTGCAGATTAACAGCTAGCAGGCATGTTGGACACTCTACAGAACTAGATATCTGTTTAGACAATGGGGTCACTTCCAAAATCTCCATTCACTGTAGCAAAAGATCAATTTTTTAGAGCACGATTTGGTTGCTGAACACAGGCATGAAGTTTTTCCCCCATTAGGCACTGTTCTGCCAGAACTCTGGGTACCACTCTCAAGGCTGTGGATTTCTGATGGATCCTCTGACACATAGAAACATAGAATCATAGAATGTATTGGGATGGAAGGGACCTTTAAAGCTGATCCAGTCCAACCCCTGCAGTCAGCAGGGACATTGGCACCACATCAGGTTGCTCACAGCCCCATCAAGCCTGACCTTGAATATCTCCAGGGATGGGGCCTGCACCACCTCTCTGGGCAACCTGTGCCACTGATCTACCACCCTCATGGTGAAGAGCTCTTTCCTCATATCCAACCTAAATCTGCCCTTTTCCAGTTTAAAACCATTCCCCTTCATCCTATCACTCAATGCCCAGTGAAACAGCTCTTCCCCAGATTTCTCATAGGCACCTTTCAGGTCCTGGAAGGTTGCTATAAGGTCCCCCTGCATATCTGCCAGCCTGTGAGGTTGTTCTGGATGCCCGAGAGTATCTCAAGGGCCCTGATGATTTCTTCTCTGGATGATCCTGCTCTAGCAGGGGGGTTGGACTGGATGGTCTTCAGAGATCCCTACCAACTCTGACCATTCTGTAATTCTGTGAGAGCTTATATGTGGGCAGCTGAACTGAGTCCTGCCTTTGGTTCATTTCTGCTAGGCTTCTCATCTCTGTGAAGAAAGAAAGCAATGTTACTATCACTGTGGGTGAGGAGATGTCCTTCATGGTTTTGCTGCACCGTGTGTGGAAGAATCACCCAGTCAACGTTGACTTCCTGGGAATCTACATTCCCCCTGAAAACCAGTTCTCTCCAGCAGCCCACGGGCTGATAGGTAAGGGCTGCTGGTCGGGCGGTGGGAATGGCAGGCCACTAGGAAGGGTTTTTGCTTGATCTTTGAGTGAATTAGTTGGTGTCTGTGTCCTGATGGGGAAGGTATGAAAATCATAGGGAAAATCAGCCCTCCAAGCCCAAGGCAAGATGTGGGACTCCCGAGCGGCAGAGGTTGTTTACCCAAATACTCTTCGCAGCTCCAGTCTGCTTACTTACAGGAAGTCTGCTGGCTCAAAAGCTGAGCTTTCTACCCTCCCAGTGTGGGTGAGCTGATAGCACTGGACACACAGTGCCCTGTGATCCATGCAGGAGGGGTTTGCCTCTGCTGCACCCAGGTTGATTTGTCAAAAGTGTCCAGCAGCAGCGTAAATGAGAGCCTCAAAGGTCAGGACACACAAAGAGCTGTAACCCTCTCTTTGATCAGGTCAGTTTGTGTCTGAACCAGAAGTGCACATCCACCACCAGCGACCTGGGCAAGATCCAGAGAAACCACAAGCCACCATGGAGGTGAAAGGAAACAAGCTCACTGTTACCAGGTGAGAATAACGAGCTCTGTTGCCCTCTTTTTAAACCTGACGTATTTTTGTTTTTAATGATGTCAATGACTGTAAGCTTTTTAGCTCTCAAGGATCTCAGGGAGGGCAAAATCACCTGTGTTTGCCCTCTGGTTAATAAACTGGGTTTAGCTGTTGGCAAAAACACTTGGGACAAGTTGGGTTCTTTCATATTTTTGTATAAACAGCTGGCCAGCATTCGACCTTGGACTGTGCCCCAAAATAGGGTCCAGAAGGTCATAGAACTGTAAAACACACTGCATTTGGTGGTTGTTTCCACTCTCTGCTGGTGGAAGACACCCACCTTGCCATAAATAAGCAGGATTATCGATGTCTTCGTGTCTACCTGTCATGCCATGAGCTTCATTTTGGGTGCCCTCTTCCTCACAGGGGGCTGCAGAAGGACTACAGGACGGACCGCGTGCTTGGGACTGATGTGCAGTGCTGGTTCGTGCACAACAGCGGGAAAGGTTTCATAGATGGGCACTACAAAGATTACCTCGTCCCCCACCTGTACAGCTTTCTGAAGAAACCCTGAATGCTCCCACACAAAACCAGTTTATTACCAAAAAAACCACGTTCTCTGCTCCCAAACAACTCTTCTGAACAGCAGCTGTCAGCCTGTCAAGCCAGATTGACCGAAGGTGACCTCACCACCATTTACTTTAGAAATGATCAGTGTTTCAAAGCAATGTAACTCCCTTTTCTGTTAAAAGAAATTAAATCTGTAATAAAGTGACAGGCTGGGTTGTAGTAGGTATCTTGCACTTGCTGGTTCTGATTTAATGGATAGCAAACTCCACTAAAAGTTTCAACTGTTTTGTAACACACATTCCAGAGTAGACTTGTAGTGTGGGTAACACATACGACCAGATTTAATATATCTGCTTTTTCAGAGTGCTGGTAAAATCTAAGTTCATGCACTGCTGGACTAGGCAGAAAGCAACGGTTTTAAAACTCAACCAGGAGGATGTGCATTAAACATAAAGGGAATTTAACATAAAGGAACATGGTCTCAGGAATGGGTACCATGAGGAGTCACCAGCCTTTAAGGATGGGTTAACCAGTGGTGAAGAATGTCCTTGAAATAGCTGATGCTGCCATAATGCAGGAAAATTAATTAGATGAGTTTGAGAAATCCTCCAGCCTATTTTTTGGTGAAAATTGCATCATCACAGCAGAGTTCACACCCAGGCATAAATCTGGGACAGCAGGAAAAGTCCAGACTATATAGAAATCAGCATCAGTACTAAAAACTTCCCATCGAGTGGGATTAGCTCCCAAAAGAAGCCTTATTCTTCAAGAGTATTCAACAATGAATGAGATCAGCAGTGAAACAAACATACATGTGTATGTACCTAGAGCCAGATTTAAACTCTGCTTTCTGGCAACATTAGAAAAAAATGTTGGAGAGATTCTTCTTAGCAGCCCTAATTTAGGAAGGGCCCTTGCTGCTCTGAACTTTAGTTTCCATCACCTGTGAACCAAAGGCTGGTACATGCCCTTTCTTCAGCCATGGTGCCAGGAGGGAGAGGACCAATGAGTTTAAGCGTCTCTTCAAAGTAACTCTCAGAAGTGTAAGCAACTTCCCCACGAATCATTGTTTCTTTGAACCCATATATTAGCTTTGCCCTCCACAACACCCTGCCAGCAGTGAGTTCCCAAGTTTAAGTAGGTCCTGGGGTGAGAGGGGGAACCTGTCAAGTCTGTTTTTAAATCCCCAAATCAGTTAATTCATTTCCTAGCTTGCATTTGAAAACAAGCAGTGAATAACCCTTCACTGTTCATCTCCACACAATTCATAACTTAATGTATCTATTATATTCACTTGTTTTCAGGCTCCAGAATATGAGGCGTAATTATTTTCAGTGATACAGAAGCTGTTTTGTTCTCTCACTAACCCTCATCACTCTCCTGCATACCTCTTCTCACTCAGTATCTGATCTCTGAGAAACAGCAGAGCTGTTTACACAATCCAGGTTGCACAAAGAGTAAATTCAGAATTTACAGACAAGCGAGTCCTCTGTCTGCAGTTCTTTCCCTCATAATTCTCTGTTCTTTAGATACTGTTACTGCTTGACTCTGCCCTTGCACGTAGGGACGAGAACCCTGACCAGCCACCTGATGTCCTGTGGGAGGTTATCTCAGGCTATTCCAGGCAGCAGTTTCACTAAACCTCTGCAGTCTTTCAGTTTTCCTGCAGAGGTCTCCTGGAAACCACAAATAACACCACAGTGAACCTCTGAGACAAGGAAAGGGACAAGGAATGGTGACTTTTGCCTACAGGGACCTTCAACTTTCAGACCATGTGCACATCAGGACAGCATTCTCCCTCTTCAACCACCAGCTGAGATCTCTGGAGGGTACAGGGGGTATCGGTTCTTGCCATCAGGTCCCACGCACACAACGTAACCAGGGGTAGACGGGACCCTCAGGTGACAATTTGTGTTTTGCCTGGGACAACTCGCATCTTTCACTCAAATGAGGCAGGGCACCAGTTGGGAGCTTTACTGTGCTCTTGGGTGGATATAAACCAACACACACCTCACGTGTTCAAAAAGCTGACAAGAAATACACTGACCTAAGAAAGGGTTGTGTTTATTCTTGAACTGCTTTAGCAATTAAACATTGTACAAAAATGTGGCATTTTTAAAAAACTAAACAATAACGTTACATCATTTCACATGAGTAATGTTACTCACGTACCAGAGCAGGGAAACAATGGAAGCACGAACAAAGGAAAAGGCTCTGGAAAACCAAAACAGCGATCACCAATTTGTGTCTGCACAGAAACCCCACAGGTAACACCCACCCTGGAGTCCCTATGAATATAAATTGTGTATTTGTACTATTAGGAACCCTGACAACAAGATGATGGAGAAGTGGTGACCTGGATTCTACTGTCGCTGATGTGCTAACCAAAAATAAGTTGGTGACAGCACTTAATAAACCAGACCATTCCTACAGAATCCAGGAAAATAATCCCCTGCAGCACTCTTACCTTCTTGCTATTCTCTTAATCCCTTCCCTTGTTCCTGCAGCCAGAACTCAATTTTGGCTGCAGACTGGGAAGAGTGCTGCTGAAACTGCACTGGCTCTGACACACGCCGCCTGCCTCAAGCAGCTATTTGTAGTAATTCTCTCTGACAGAACTGCTAAAATACTCCAGTAAATAAAATCCTCAAGCTTGTAGCTATCTGCTGTATTTAACAAAAGGAAATTGAACCAAAATATTAAAACTTTGATATAGAAACAGATGAAAAATTTCCACTGGTAAGATCTCCACATTTTATGTAGGAAATCCGTAGTGATCTTTAAATAAATTCAATTTCCCTGTGGTTAACTTCTATATACATTATAAATACATACACACACAATTAAAACCCTGACATGGTAGAGTCTTGTGTCTGCCTGCAAGATGCCAGAAAGATGTATTTGGGAACCAAAATCTTCTCTGATCCACAATCAGCACCTCAGGCGAGTTTGGAAATGTCTTCGTACTGGATGTCTTCAACTCGGCGTCCTTTTAAAGGTCCCTGGAGAATGACACAGTGTAAGAAATGTAAGCTTGTTTGTTTAAGTCCCAGTAGTGAGTTTAAAGTAAGACAGATAAAGGGGCTGTATGAAATCTCACCACATTTAGACATTCTCAAGAAGCATAACCACAGTGATTAGCAATGGAAATCAGAGTCATTGGTGTTTTCACTCAGCGCTGCACACAGCAAAAGCGCGATGATTGCTGTTTTTTGTTTAAGTGCACTGTCCAGAAGCCACATATAACCACATAACCATACAATCATATAACCACACACTGGAGAAATGCATTCAGAAAGCTGCAGGTTTGGGATCTGCTCACAACACAGTGTTTTCTGTTTCATTATTTTCAATCTGACCAGAGAAATGTGACAGGGCCTTAACACTGTCCCAGAAATCTTTTCACATTCAGGACACTTCTTGTACTAGTTAAAGTCCTTGCAACTTTGAGGCAAACATAAGCAGCTGTTTTGAATCAATTCACTGTGAACGTACAGGTAGTAAAAGATTTCATTTTGAAGACAAAATTATATCTAAAAATCCTGGTAGCATCAGTAAGAAAATTCTCACAGACTTCACTAGTTTTCAGGAGCAGTTTCATCAATCTTTAATGTGTAGACTCCGAATTCATGCAGGAGGGGGAAACCTTAACACCTACAAGTATAAGAACTAGAGAAAAAACTACCCTGGTTTCCAAGACCAATATTATCATGATTGTTGGCTCCAACCAAAAAGCTCCTTCTGTGGTCAGGACTTCTCTACCGTCTCTCCTCAAGCAAATTCTCCAGAATCCAATAAAGAGCTGTGTTGCTGAAGCCCTCCTTTACACGGGATCCTAACAGGGCCTCTCTCCTGCAAGCCGTGTTTAAGAAATCTGCCTTTAAGCCAATATTCCCTCTACTGTATCAATGAGTTTAAAGATTGGTGTTGCAAAGGAGAGCAAAGAAGCAGCCACACAGACATAACAACATGGCCTAATTTTGACCTAGAGAAAGGTGAGATGTAAAAAAAACCCAAACTCAAACAGTCATAGATGTTAATTATAAACAAGACGACAAATAACCACACAAAGCCCCACGTTCAGTCTAGAAAAGGCACGAGAAAATTCACCTCCTTGCATACTTCACATTTTTCATCTTCCCACAAAATACAAAAGCCACATTCAAAATAAACATACAAAATATTTTGCAAGTCTCTTTCAAGTTCAAAACTCGCCAAATTCCACATCCTGGCATCTTTTTAAAGGCAAACAGCAGAGCATTAGTCTGCAGTGGAGAATATGTGGCTGTTTTTCTACTGGTTGGGAATGGGGCGGGAAGGGCGACCACAGCATTTTGCGCACCATAAATCCCACTGATAAGACAGGATTAATGACACCATCTCACCTTGTGAGGGCTCTTCAATGCACAGAAGAAAAGCACTCTACACAAACTAGATCTTGCAGCGCTTGATACTTACAGAATCGATGATTATTGTCGCTGAAAACTTCTTTTCATTGATAGATTCCAAGATGCCTTCATTTCCCCTGTAACCACCATTTAATACCATCACTTTCTTGCCTGAAATGAGAAATAGGAAAACAGTTACACACAAGGGCTTCCAGCCTCCTTTGATGCAGTTGTGTTCAACTCCCCTGACAGCTGAAGGGGAGGTGGTTTCTCCCAGCAACTACAGCAAGCAACACGCAGCTTTGCCCTAAAGCCTGCCCGTTTCCAAAATGCGCCTCAGTTTACTGTTCCAGACACACAAACATTACTGTGTACCCGCCAAAGAAACACCAGTGAACCACACAGGAGATGAGGTGAGCTTTGCCAAGTGCCCACAGCTATTTGAGGTATAACTTTGGAGGGAAGATACAGGATAAATAAGACCAAGGGCTCTGTAGGGCTCTCAGAGATGCTTTCTGGCAGCTGAAGAGAGATGCTTTCATCTCATCAAATGAACTGATTCCTAAAGCACTTGCATCTTCTCAGAAAATAATCTAATTCTTATGAGAAGGAACTGTGAAGACTCAAAGCAGAAGCAATGTAATAATTCCCTAGAAAGTATCCCAGAGGATATTTGGTAAATGATCAGAGTAGCTCACGAAATGCTGTCACAAGAGCAAGATGGCTCTCATCGTGGTACTTTCAAGTGGATGAATAAAAGAACTAAAATGTAAGTTTTGCAGCGACAGCTAAGCTGAAAACCAAACAAAATAGCTTTACCTGGTGCGGGTATTACAGTTTCCAGATGTGTCTGATCAAGCTTCAGTTTGTCTCCAGAATCAATCATCTTCACAACTGCTGTGTACTTGTCAATCACTTCCTGTTGTGAAAGGCAGAGGTCAATCAGAAAAAATAAAAATCTCTCAATTTACATGTGAAAACTAACAAACTCAGGACCATGAGTCTGCACTTCTACATTTTCAAGAGCAGCAGGGACTTCTGAGCTGTCCTATAGGCATCCAGCTCTCACAAACTGCTGGCTGGCCTCACTCTAAAGTGAAGGCTGGATTAAAAAGGCTCCTCTTGAACACCAGTAACCGGTCTAATCAACCACTAATTTTGTCAGCCTTGTCTGAAGGTTTTGTCAACCTTTGGGTCAGCTTTCTTAGCTATTCCCTCAAACACGGAGAGTAAATCAGAGGCTTCCTTCCCCCATGGGAGGCTAAGCTGGCTGGAAGCCACACAGTGACAACTGGGATACTGCCCCTCAAAGAAGTGAAATGTTACTGATCATCTCTGTGCCTAGCATAAACCATGTTCCACCTCTCAAATTCAGTAACTGTTCTCCCAGATGGATGTATTAATAGCGACAAACTATACAGGACAAAACAGTGTTTAAAGGAGGATTACTGAGTAAATGCCATTAAATCAATTCAGAGATTCACTCCCTGCCTAGAATAAGTCCCAGTAAAGTTAAGGTGATGTTTCAGCCACTGTCAGTGTTGACTTAAGGCTGAACAACTTGCACCATGAAACAAAACTTCAGGAGTTATCCAATACCAGAAAAGCCTAGCCAATGCCACACGCTTCCATCTGCACACTTTACCTTAACAACTGCCTTCTTCTTATGATACTTCTCTCCGAGCTTCTTTGTTACAATTTTTACAATGATTTCCTGGAAGGTATGAAAGGAGAAAAAAAATAAAAAGCCAAAATATACAAACAACTACACAATCTAAACTCACTGCACTTTGACTGCAACCACAGACTTTACAGCACAGTGCAGGAAGCAACAACACTGAAGACTCATCATTCAGGAACTTGTCTTTTTCCTTGAATTACTGCCTCTAAGTAGTATCTCTCAAGACTTTCCTTTGTTTTACAAGTACAGTTACACTTGTATTCAAGATATAACGTGACAGTCCCCAATGGGTCAAAGGCTGGACTTCTTGATCTGGAAGTCCAGTCAACAAGTAGATGCTGAGATGAGGTCTCTCAGCTCAAAGGCTGGTGGTGACTTCTACGTCTCTGTGCGTGCCAACTACCAGTGCAGAAAGAAGAAGGCTGCAAGTAACACCATGATGTAAACATGATCTGTAGAGACTCCCAGTACCAACATTTTAACTAGAGAATTCCACCCTGAGATCAGTTATATGATGCTTCAGACTGCAGATCATGCTCAACCAGAAGGGTAATTCCTCCCAGATACTGTTATGTTTCACATTTGGCAGTTTGTAAACTAAGAGTGAATTTGGTCTAGATCTTTACACAAATCAGTAGTGGCTTTGAGATACAGAATTGGTTGTATTTAGTATAATAATAACTTTAAGACACTTACAGGCTGCAACCAGTAGTCTCTTCGAGATATTCTTTTCTTCTCCTCTTCAAGCTACAGAACAACAAATAATCACCATTCACTTCCTCTTCTTACTGCAGTTTTCCCATGCCTTTGAAAAGCTAAATGAATTCTCCAGGCCCACATCAAGTGGGGAATAAAAGAAACCCCAAAACTACATAAGGGTAAGTCAGTGTGTGCTTGCTGTATAAAACTCAATCTGATGAGATCCAGGAACCCATGATAAGATGATAGAGATTTACATTTGGGGTTTTTTTTGTCAAATGTTTCTAGATATTTTCTTCTTTTCCTAAATCCTTTACTTCCAACATCTCAGTTGTCTGGGGAATAGGCACAGATGGGCAGCAGAAACCAGTTTTAATAGGGAAGTGAAATCATTCTGCGTGATAAGAAAAGTCTGAATTCCACATAAACTGCAGGCCTGAGGTCACTTCAAAGGAACGTCCTGGTAAAGTGGACATAGCCATAAGCATGGGGTTATAAAAGCACAGATCCTGCACAATTATTACCTCCATAATCTCATCCAGTGCGGATTTCTTCTTTTTCTCTTTGGGCTGACCAGAGCTATGAGCTGATTCTTTTCTTTTAACTGTCCCTTCCACCTTCTTCAGTGCATTCGGTCCAAGGACACTGCTGGAAGAGTAAGATGGTGTTTTCACAGCAGACCTTACATTGTCTCCTCTACCAAGATGCACCTGAAGAGCTGGTTGTGCAAAAAGGCCTGCTGATCTATTAATTTTCAGTTGTGCAAGTCACCTTCCAGACCCTGCATGCCTCCTTCTCTAGGACTGCATTTGGCAGCTAGAACTGATGTCCTTGTGGTGTAAACTCCGTGTCCGCTGATGTTTGCTGCTAGCGGTCCAGCAGAATGAAAACAACCTAATGATCAGTTCACCAGTGCAAAAGCAAAGAGTTCAATGGAGAAAAGCAGGTCTGCAAGTAAGGTTTTCAAATTCAAAAGGACAAATGTGTGACTTTAGAGAAGCCACCTGGGCAGAGCAACTGTTCAACACGGTAGATATCTAAAACTCCTTCCAGGCAGAGATACTTGACCTATCTGGCAGAGGGAGAAATTACATGGGAATCTGTAGAAAAGGGCTCCATACCCAGCAAATAAACACCATCTTCATAATCATATTCAAAATAGGCAAACACCATATGACTTATGAAAGAAAAGAGTAATCAGCACAATCACCTTGGGTATCAGGGAACATCTAGGTAAAGTGAGAACTGCCTAGAGGCAGCTTGAGTTAAGCCATTTTTATTAAAGACATTTGAATGCAATAAAAAAATGTAGGTGTTCTCTCATCCAGAAAGACACCTTGGGGATCAGGGAACATCTAGGTAAAGTGAGAACTCCCTAATGGCCAGTTAAGCCATTTTTATTAAAGACATTTGAATGCAATAAAAAAATGTAGGTGTTCTCTCATCCAGAAAGATGAAGAAGGCTGCTGTGAGGTGGACAGTAAGGTAATGTTAATATGGCCTTACAACAAATCGCATGTTCTGCTTGTGGTGAGGATGTTGGCTATACTAGCAAAGAGAAGGTCTGACACAGGGATGAAGATACACAAATGGAAATACAAGCAAAATGGAGAGAAAAATTGTATTTCAGAGGAAGACTGGATAATCTCCATAGCAGAGTTCTACAAGAAATAGCACATCAAATCACAAATCAAATAGCAAGTACTTAAAATAATATCTCATAAAGGGTAACATACAATTAAAACGTAACCGCAGTGCCTATACTTAAGAAGGAAAACATATCTAGCTGTGAGGTTACTAAGGGGTTCCTCAGTATCAGTACTAAAACAAATCTTATTTAACATATTCATGAAGGAACCTGGGACAGAGAGTGAGAGACCACTGACACTGTTCAGGTGTGTCATCAATATGGAGAAAAAAAGAAAGAACTGGACACCAGAAGGGACTGGTTTATCTTGAAAACCATGTTTTAAAAGCTGTAAATTTCAACAGTACATTATGCAAGCTCACACACTTTGGAAAAGTTTACTCTGATTACCTTCTGTCTCCTGGGAGCTGTTTAAGAACAACAAAAGCAGAATAATATATTATTATGTGCTATAATCACAGATGACAGCTACCAGTGTGGACCAGCCATGAAAGAGTCAAATGATGCTAGGAAGCACCAAGACAGACAAGCATTAGTGCCTTGTATAAGCCATGGTGACGTTTCATTTGCAGCATACACAATTTGATCAGCTTCCCTGTTCAACTAGAACAAGGACAAGGAAGGGATATTCAGCAGATCAGGGAATGGGGAGATGAGGCCAGCACTGTGCAGGCCTGCTTGTTCAGCACAGTGAAGGCTGAGAGGTTACAACTGTTCGCTACAAATGCATTGCCTGAGAAAGCAAACACCAGGGAGAAAAATAACTATTTACGTTACGTGCCCACACCAACGTGAACGTGACTGCTATACACTGGCCATGACTACATTTACCTGGGAAATTACAGACAAGGTCCTAACCATCAGAGCAAACAGGTTTTGAAGAAACTTCCCTTGGAATTATCGGGCTGGGGAGACGCTAACTGTGTACAGTGGAGGCTGATCAGTGTGCGGACAGGACTGGACAGTGGTACACTTGCAATGCTGCAGACAGGAGTCAGTGACCTTGATAGTAGCTTCTGCTCATTCCTTAATTAGAAGTACTTCTAATCTTATTTGTCCACTGAGTGAGTTAAGCAGGGATTTAAGGTTGTAAGTTCTTGAGGGGAAAAAGGGCAGTGAGCACCAGAAGCTGTGTCTGCAGCAGCAGTGGTGAATCCTATCTCCTTGTCAGCCACAGGGCACACCTCCCTTCTCAGCAAGGCTCCAACTCTATCTCTGTATCTAACTACCAGCATCCAGAAGCCCCCAAAACTCCACTATCCACTGTCTATGATCTCCTGGTCCTATTTCTTCTACTAAGAAATAGAAGTCCCAGGTTTCTGTAGTTTGTGCTGTGAAGAGCACAGAAGGTGGAAAGCCAGGAATTCCTACTCCTGTGCTGCGGTGCTGCTGGACATCGGCTCAAACTCAACTGATCCTCACTAACAGCAAATGCATCTCACAGCTGCAGAACACACCTTTATGCTGACACAGGAAAGCACTTTCCATATACAACTCTGAAGTGACTCCTGTATCACCAATGACACATAAACCACAGTCTGGTCATTTCACAGTGAAGTGGGTATCCTAATTTTGCTTCAACACTACCATTACGAAGCTTGTCGACAAGTATCTCTCATGTGCTATGAAAAAATTAGACTACTTGATATATGATTTCACATTCAGCCAAATTTTAGCAAGCACCTTAAGTATTCCTCACTGAAACTATTCAAGTGAGTGTCTGCGTTAAGTTTCAGACTCACCTTAAGCACAACTCAATGCTTAGGGATAATTTACACGTTTTCCTCAAAGCCTGAAATCTGTACCTATTATTGCACAGAACTACTTTATTGTCTCATTTTCTGCCTGGCATATCTCCCATCAGATACCTTATCTAAGAGTTGAGCTTCTGATGAGAGGAAAGCTTTCGTTTTACCTGCAATACATTTAATTACAATATTGCCTCACATGAAAAGATGTACTGCTCATCAAACAGTTTCACAGACTGCTGTAAGCCAGTATTGTTTGCGTTATTGATCCCTTTTGTCCTGTGTTGCTCACAGTTATGCGATGACAATGAAACTTGTCAGATTTAGAAAGATTTACATCATGTAGATTCAGCTTCTTAAATGATGATCAGAGAAAGTATTACCTCCACTTAGACAAGGCAATCAAACCTTTTAGGAACCAAAATTAACACAAAATTTATATGTTCCCATTCATAGAAGGTAGCTGGGACTAGATGGCATTCACTTCAAATGCTTTGCCTGGATCCCTTACCCACAGTATCGTCTTGTAGGAACCTGTAACTGCCTGTTACTTTGTGGGCACCTGTCATGAACCATCGTGAATTCAAGGTGGCTCCTCACAGCAAACATTTAAGATAAACCCATTCATCCATTTTAAATACAAAAGAAACCACAAAGTCACCAAGTATCTCCTCCTGAATAACATGACAGGATGAGATATTAGTCTCCAAATATTTCAGGACAAGATACATCTTCCTGTATATACAAATACCATTTTCATCTAAGTGCTCTGCAACAGTAAGGGTTGCCCTTAAATTCTTTTCTCACCTTGTTTTAGAAGATGCTGCTACTGAAGAACTTGCTCCTTTGTTTAAATTAAATGTAACTAAAAAATAAAAAGACATTACTCTATTTCTATCTTTAAATATAACTGCATTGAAGGATGTTACAATTTTAAAAATCTGTGGATTGAAAAGATCATAAATTTGAAAATATTTACCAATCTATGTTTTGGTTCAGCTTTTAAAATAAATTACTTTAAACACTGTAAAAAATAATACTCTGTATTTCCATATTCCAGTGCTCTTTGTAACTGATCTCAAAGCACTTTATGAAGTACCGAGCAAGACCCAGCACTCATCTGGTTTTAATCACAAAGTCAGCTTCAGTATGTTCTAGAAAATTACATGTATCAAAATCTGGTTACCTTTTTCTTCTTCATTTTCTCTGTTCAGTTCAGTATAGACTGGCATTTCCTGCCAAAAGAATACAAAACACATTTCAGGAGTCTAACAGAAAACTGAGCCAAGATGTCATTTTTAGGTGATCATTGATTAGCTCAGTTTTACAGACTACTGTGAGATTATTACACGTAACTGTAATATTCAACCTGGCTTGATTCATAAGAAGATTAGAAATTGAAACATTATCTCATTACAGGCTTCTGTGCAAATTCTCTAATTAACACTCTCTACAGAGATGCTGTCTAAACTTGTTTGATTCCAGCACAAAAGTGGCCCTACAGTAACAGTTTTCCCTATTTGAACCAGCATGATTAGACTGGTTTCTGGACAGAGATAACCCAAAGAACGTTCCAAATTTTTAGCACCGAAGGCTCAGACCATTTAAATTTCAATTAGTTTCAAATTAAGAGAAAGGTAATTGTTTACAACAGCATTTAAATGTACCTATCGATACTCAGGATCAAACGAGAGGTTCCAGGCAACAACATGTATGGAAGTCATGGAATGACTCCAGATAAAGAGCTCCCAAATGCCACACCAACACTACCAAAGTAAACCTTCTGACTATGCAGATTTGATTATGCCCACTCCCCCTGGTTATCTCAGCCTCCCCACTGTACAAGGTACTTGTTACTTACAGCCCTAAAAGTTGTGAAATGTCATAAATGTAGACACGTCATGCTGGTTACCGTAGTTTTTTCTGTCTTCCTGAAGTCAAAAGTGATTTTTAAATTACTAATCACTGAAGAGCAGTAACTATTATTCCTTTAGTACTAAAGCAAACCAGGTACAAAGTAACTCCCAGTTTTCCTCCAGAGCATGTTATAATCTAAGATAACTGTATAGCAGAAAATTCAGAACATAAGTGAACTGCTGTAGTGATGCAAGTATGGAAGATGACAGTCTAAACTGAAGTCTGAAATAGCCAGGATCAGACACTAGGGCCACAAGGCACAATTCTGCTAGATTTCAAAATCTAGAAGAAGCTGTAACCTCTGCTGTCTCCTATTTATTTTGTTTTTGAAACTGTGGTTCCATAGCAGACCTTGATGTTCATCAGTTGTAAAAGCTAGGAGCACGTTGTTTAGGCAAGGAAACGTAACTAGCTGCAGTTTCAACAGAAACAAGTTGTTAAGGCTCCTTTCAGAAGTATGTGGGAGAAGACTGTTCCTTGTGCCTTAAAAAGAACAGCAATGCAGCCAAATATGCCCACTGTTCCTCAGTTTGAACTGGTAATGAGCTTGTAATCTGAAGCATGAAGCTTACTCATCACCTTCTATTTGACTGCAAAGGTAATACCAGTGCAAGGATCCCAGCAGCAACAAATTCACCATTAACTAAACCACGAGGAGTTTGGAGCTGAAGGCTGCCATACAGTGTCATTTTCCTTACCAGTTCTTTCCCCTCCAAACCTCTTCTAACTTGTTGTTCAATGAATTTAGCAGTTTTTTCTTCATCATCAAGGTCCTGTTTCTTCTTTCTCTCTTGTTCTTGTTGTCTGCGAATAGTCTCTGGGTCCCTATCGATATACTGAATATACCAGCCTTTTGGAGTCTCATCAACCTTGCAAAGACCTAAAAAGTTAATGCAGGGTAAAGGAAGATTAATGCTTAGAAAAGCAAGTAAGGGACAAAGAAAATATCAAGATCATTTTCACAGTCCACGTTCACTGTAACAATGCAGATACTTTACCAGAGACAACGTACCTCTTACTGGCCTGGTAAAATTGACTTTACTCAATACTATCCTCAGTATCTGTCTCTGCCCTTCAGCTAATTGGTTATATCTGGAAATCGGCCAGAGTACATAAAAAAGTGGATGGAGTGTTTTACAATATTTCCCTTATTGCAGAAAACGTTTCCTTCCCACTGTTTTAACAAGGAAGAAAACAGAAATCTAGCACATATAAACAATACACACTAATAGCATCATATTAGAGGAAACTTCACTATGCTACATTATTGTTACTAACTCTCACTAGTGTGAGTTTTCAAACACTTTATAACTCATGAACACATCCTGTAGGACACAGGCAACCAGAGCCAAAGTAAACTTTCTGTCACACCACAGCACCATTTAATTTTTCTTCCTCCCACTGAACACAAAACTACAGATCTCAAGCCTTAACCCTTTCACTAGGCCAGGGATGAAAACAACTGCTTGCTTCTTGTTAACTTAAATATGGAAGGATTCTGTAGTCACAAAAAGTGTTCTATCATAGTTTTTTAATTTTTAAATGGCAACTGTTGGAAACTGATTTAGAATTTAGCAATACCTCCAGTAAATATAGACCAACAGATGAAACAAGGCAAGGTTCATGATTGATGCATCTATCTCAGGCTTCCGACATTTTTCATAAGCAAATCTCTAATGGTTAGCACAGAAATAGGTTTGGACATCTGTTTATATATATACAGGAGCGGAGAGGAAGAAAGAGGAACGAAATGGGAGAACTACAGAAATGTTTACTGATCACTTATCAGGAACGCAATCATTCAATAATTTTAAAACTTCCCAACATTTACCTTCTCTCCCCAGCCATTTAGTAAAATCAGTCAGCGTCTCCCACTGGGTGGCATTCATGTGGATGTGCTCTCGATGACTGATATATTCATTGTACACAATATTATTGTGGACTCTCTTTGTTCCTAAAATAAAGAATTATTATTATTAAGTACAAATATGGGACCTAGGAGAAAGCAACCAAAACTCCTTGCACTGAATAAAAGACATTAAAAACAAACAGTAAAATATTTACCAAATCGCCTCCTGAGCAGCTCTAGGAAATCATTTCGGAACTCCCTCAGGGGAAAAAAAGAAAGTATTTTAGTAAAACTACAACGATTACAAAGCAATTGTCATTAACAATGAAATATCTGCAGTATAAAAATGAGTATTCTTTTGAACCGAGCATAATAAAATTCAGACAATCATTTCCCTTTTTCATTAAAGCAGCATTAAACGCACTACGTGTGCACAAAGAAACACAATATGGTACCTGCACATACTTATCAAAAGGATAATACCTTTTCAAAGGGATAAAACAGAAAGAACAAAATCTAAACACTCTCCACTAATTGCTGGTATTTCATTACCAGGTATCTTCCTAGGCAGACTGACACAAAACACAGGGCAGGACAAAGGGGAGCAGTGGCAGATGGGGCAGATTGATCACTCATCTCGCTGCAAAAGCAAGGGCTTGAGCACAAAGCTGTGCTTCAGACTCGTGCCGAAGACAGCTCCAGTCAACCCAGCTGTCGTGTA